ACTAGCCCGCATCACCTCATAAGGGGGAGAGACCACAGTGCCTTAACAAGCCCCTTACACTGGCCGGAACCCACTAGCGCGTGAGCACGTTATGGAAGTACTTGGGCCAGCTGTTGCACATGCGTAGTATGTGTGGTTACGCACACCAGATCGAACTCCGCCGTAAGCTGCTTCGCATCTAAGAGATACAATAGTGATAACGTGGTGCCGAATTTTCATCCAAGCTGTTTTTTGCGCGCAGTTGCATTGAGTTGCCGAGTTGTTTTTTTTTTTCATACATTACTCAATATATCCAGCCTCTACATACAATAATTTAAAAAGCGTGTTTGCCTTAGTTTTTGCAAAGTGGTCCATACCCATCACTTTTGCCTTTGAAAGTGTTCTTGCATTTTAAGCCAAATGCGTTCTTCGCTTTTCACTTCAAATGTGTGACGGTTCTTGCGCTATTAGTGAAAGCAAGGCGGCTATCCGAACTTAGTCAGAGACATAATTTAATCGGAAGCAAACCACACACTAGACAGCACATTGCAGCCTCCTCAAGCCAAACTGATTTACTCTGTGCTCGAGGCCATTCGAGCCTTGCCGGGAACGAAAACACTCGTGATACTGCCCAAAAAATTGTCTACCGGGCCCGTCACCCGTCCTCAGAGCAGATATTCTTCCGACGAGTCCACCAGGGCACACACGAGAAGGTCGAGACCCGGTGTGGTCAGGCAAAATACTAAGTTGTTATGTATGGTGAAATTCTGATATATTACCATGTAGGGCAAGATGGAATTACACTGTAAAAGACAAGCACTCTAAGTTGGGAGGAGATTCTTTTCCAGTAGCAGCTCCCTTGTTCAGAGTAACTTTTACTCCAGACCCGCAGAGCAAAGCTTTCACTTCGGCTGGCCAGAGAAATTGCATGGCACAACCGGGGTACTTTTTATTTACCAGCATGTCAGTGCGGCTGGCCAGAGGGACGGCGAGACACCTATACGGAGTATTTGTTTGTGGATTTTCGTCTCAAGCTATCCGGAGTTTTCGCCTGGCACATCCGGAGTATTGTATCACGGTCGTTACTTCATTACATCGTGCCACGCCTTCGTTAATTTACGAAGTTTTAATTTGAATGAAAATACTGCAAAGTAAATGTGTATTTTTCCACAAAGCTCTAGCAGATAAAACTCAAGGGAACACTTGATCTATATTGTTTTATTTATAATAGGCTGCGGTTACTAGTTCAAGGCCAAACAAGTGGGAAAAGACGACAAGAACATATGCACAAAAAGCCATCGAAAAACAAAGCACATGAAGACAGAGGAGATTATTTCAATAGTACTCATGTTTTAAGCGCAGCCTGTTGAAATGATGCCCAGAATGCTGCAAAACGATGAAGGACAAATGAAGGAAGCGCGGCTGTCGGAAAGAACTGCTCGCCGTCCCCGAATGGCCATCCATGAGATTGCAAATTGAGCAAAGATTCACCTGATTGCTTCCTGCACAATTTAGCAAAATAATAATAATGATATATGAGAACAGCATATCATGCGAGAGGCCCGAAGGCTAAGACCTCAGAAGCATCAAACACTCGTTAAATCTTATAGTCTGCATGTATATGAGTCTACGCACACACACACCTAAACAAACAAAGAACAGTACAAGCGCTAAATATCAAGTGGCAGATCCCATGTACTCCGGAGTCACACAGCCGCTGCATGATTTAAACACACCTCCATGAAAGTGACTAGAGTTCCAAACGACTGAACCTTATTTCTATTTTTCTAAATCAATAGTTGTCCTTTTCATAAAACACGTAAAGGCTGCTTTTTTCACTTAAATGAGCAAGTTTTGGTTACTATCGAACTCAACTACCAGGAATACCTCTACTGAATATTGGCTAAATTTAGAAAATAGTATTTCGCATTATTAGTAACATTTAATATGGGTTGATTCGTCTTACTTCTAGCATATTTATCTCTAAAACGCGCTCAGAACTAAAAGACCGAAAGGGTAAGCAGAAAAACCGGAATGTAATAACCAGGTGTCGAACTTGAACTGGTATAGCGCATTACGGGGAAGAAGAAACGGCCGAGCAGACCGACACAAGAGGACAGAGCGCTAACTTCCAACTCAGCTTTATTGTCAAACTGCATCAAATATGTAGACCGGCGCAAGCATACAAAACCACCCTAACGCAACGACAAGATAACACACAACATCACACCATCACATATCACAGATTCATAGGCAATTATCCTGATTAAGGAAGGCTACTTCATGTTCAGATAAAACCAAAGAAGGAGCGCTAATACACGTGCTGCCAGCTCTTGCTATACAATGCGCTTTATAATTTCCCGAGTTAATTGTGACGGGTGCTTTTTTACCACTTCACATTGATCAAACATGGGGGTACATCCACAATCGCGGCAGCGAATTCCAATGTGGCGCTGGATTGCTTTGGGAACATTATAATGGTGCTCTTTTAGCCTTTCATTAAGGCATCGCCCCGTTTGGCCGAAATATCACATACCACATAAGAATGGAATCGCGTAAACAACCCCCGCTACACACGGCACAAACCGAGTTTTGTGCTTAGTTGCGCAACCAGTGGTACGTGATTTGAGAGGTTCCGTTTCTTCTTCCCCGTAATGCGCTATACCAGTTCAAGTACGACGAACCAACTCGCCACATCTTCAACACTAAGGTGTCGAAGCTGGCGACTAGCAATAATGACACGAGACTTCAAAAACTAAATTTTTGCACACATGGACGCTATACGCCCTTGATGAGGTAGAACTGGGATGAGTCGTATATAAGGTCAAGTGGCTTTTTGAGATGGCTCTGCATGATTCTCTGACTAAATGCACCGTATATTGATGCAATAAATTTTTATAATGGTGCCCTGCGACAGTCTTAGGCACCATAGCGAAGCCATTAAGGGGACTTTCTTTCTAAAGGTCACTATATGATTTTTCGAGTAACGTAGTTATGTGACACACGATAATATATAGGCCAATAGCATGAGCTTACTTGCCTATAGATTAAATATTGATGCAAAAATATTGAAGTCTTCTACGGTGTTTTACTGGTTACGGCGCTCAGCTACGGACCCGATGGTCACGGATTTGATCACGGCTCTGGCGGTCTCATTTCAGTGGAGACGAAATGCTAGAGACTCGTGCACTATGCTGTATCACCGCACGTTAAACAACACCAGATGTAAATTCCTCAGGTTCTCTACTATAGTATCCCTGATAGCGATAGCATTATTTTTGGATGTCACACCATAGGTATATAATTATAATATGTTCAAACAGTGTGGAAAAGATTGACATTTTCAAGATAGCTTAATAATTTTCATAGTTGCATATATTTATTTACTTATCTATACTTCTTCTCAACCACTTCATTATTCACACATTTTGGTAATGAAACATTGCCTGTAAGTCCCCCTTCACAAGTCCAACCGGGTGCTTACAATATCTAAAAAAAAAACACGCATCTCCATGGGACCAATAGCAGCTGCAAATGTGGGGCTAAGTTTCCACGCAGCAGAGCATTGACGATTACAGAGGTGTGCCAACAGGCCATAGCGGTTATTTTGTAATGATTCAACATTTTAGGGGCGAAGCTCCTTATGGCGTGGCTTGTGCGTCCCTCGTAGTACGTAACCACCAGTGGCACATACCCGAAATAGCGGTCCTTACAATGTCTGCTGGATGGGGGCATTGTATATGATGAATACATGATGAAAAGATGTGAGATGGCTGTGCTTGGAGTTTCCTCCAGACATATGGACGGACGAACGAACTGACACACGCACGGATGGACAGACAGAGGGGCGCACGGACGGATGGATAGATAGAAAGATGGCCACAAAAAGAGATGGACGCACAGACAGACGAATGAGCAAACGGACGGATGCACCAAGGATCACCCAGATAGGCGGACGCCAGAACAAATGGACAGACAGACTGACGAACGCTGCGCCCCAACATTCATCATTAACTCCGTGGATATGCTGTGATTTTTTTTCTAATTTATGTTAATACTTCGAATAAGTGCCTAGATAGATAGATAGTAACACATTTTGTGGCCCAGAATAATTTTTACCCTAATTTATAGGGGCAAGAATGCGGGCCACCCAACGTTGAAGCATGGAGGCCAAGCCTCACCACAGCATCTTGGCCCGTCTGGACAGCCTGGAGTTGGTCGAATCAGTTGTGGCTCTTGAGAAAAGAATCAAATTCTGCCTCCGTCAGCTCGTGGTCCGCGTGTTCCTACTCAACGGCAAGAAAAGATTTTTTCAAAGTTCAAAAAAATTTATTAGTAACATTGTACTTTTTGACCGAGCATCGTAACATGGCGCTTCATTTTTACAGTCTTACCTGGTCTAACTAAAACCATTTCATTGTACATTGCATCCTGGTTGCAATGCTAAAAGGAACCAGTTTGTGTGATATTAAAAATAAGAGACCGATGAAAAGGAAATTTCCATTAATGGTGTCGGCAACGCTCAGCTATGATGCGAAAAATTATACGGTGTTTCTTCCGTATATATGCATACACTTTCATGGTGTTCTTGTAAATATAGTTTATTGTTGAGCCACTTTAAAGCTGCCAATCACCTTCGTAATAATGAGGTTGTGTATTTATGCAGTTTAAATTAACTAATATAAGCAATAGGGCTTAGGACTCTCTATAGTAGAATACATAGTGCTCTATATCATTAACGATTTTGTCTAAACACACAATAAAAGCGCTCACATTTCAATCTTCTGCATAAGGCTGCATTATACGAATGTATGCCAGCCATTACTGCTGAAGGCCTTGATCAACATAGACTGAAAGTAGTGCTTCAAGATCCGCAAGCCGCATGTGGAAATAGTCTGTTCAAAAACAATGAGCTATTGTTCGTTTTCGGCAGGTGTTTTTATAGAGAACTAGTGGCCACAAGATGAAAGTGAATTTGGAGCAAGCAGCGTACTTTTCCTTATGCTCTTATATGTAACGTCCGTGCGCCAAGTGTCTAGAGAGTCCACAGGTGGTTGAAACGGGGATGAAAATAAAAATACAGATAGCAGCGCCAGGCCACGTCCCCGATGACTAAAAGATCTCTAGGTATAAGGCAAAGAAAAACAACGAAATAACGCTTCGCGTTTGTCGCAATGAGAGCACTTACATTACTTTGCCTGTTTTGTCTTATCATTGATGTCATCGGTAAGTAGCTTTTTATTGCAATGTAAAAAGAAAAGGTTTCATTTTGGTGACTGTGCCACGGCAAACAATAATTACGAATATGGTTCGGCAGTGATAAAATGTTTTAGTTTGTTTTCCACTGATTGTGCACATACAGTCTAATGAATATTTATAAACATATGCACATATACTATTATTATTATGCATTAGTACGTTTTGGTCCCAGAGCGGAGCAAAGTTGAATTTAAAATGTTTCTGCTTAAGATCCATTAATGAGAGTAGGCGTAACGCTGAAGCATTCCGCAGACGACACGATGCGTCGCCTCCATTCGGCTTAGACAAAGGAGATTGGCCATCGCATACGGGCAAAGCAGCTAGGGTATTGCATATGCAGTTAACACCAGCATATAACAACAATTTAGACAGTGATGTACTTACTAAGATGGTGAGTTGAGGTCATAGTTCGGCCAAATCACTCATCAGTCGGATCACTCAGACTCACTCTGACTCAGATCGAGCCGTAAGTCTGAGTTAGAGTGAGTCCTGCTGAAGCGATTTTTTGTGAGTGTGAGTCAGAGTGAATTCAGCTGAGGAAAAGAACCGGTGAGTCTGAGTCCGCGGTAGTCCAAGCACGACACATTTATTGAATGAGTCCCAGTGAGTTCCGCTTTCTTTCTGCGACCTTAGCTCACGAATGTGTTTGCCGAGGTGTGGGTCAGATTGATCGATAACGATGACCTCGGCACGACTGTGGAAACGAAGGTGAAAGCGTATAAATTGCCATGATAAGCTACAACGTCGCAGCGTTTTTGCCTTGTCATATATAGATTGGTGTAAACAAGGTGAGCTGTAGTGATTGGAAGATTGTGTGGTGTGGTAATAGTTTTAGTGATTGCATTAAGTAGATAAAAAACCGTGTGCTAATGCGCTTGCGCAGTCTACATAGCACCATTATTCGGAATATTTGAAATATATGATTGCACTGGCTATGCTGAAGAACGCAAACGCTGTAAAAGACGTGTGCTTGTCTTTTTCTTGTTTAGATCTAGCTATGTATTTGTGTGAATACAAAAATACATGTTCATACGTAGCCCAAAAGAAATTAAAATTAAGGTAAAGAAAAAATCTGACGCAGATAGCAATAAGACAGCTGCGCCTTCATTTTATGTCATTTGGTCGTTTAAAAAGGCAACTCTAAGCTATTTTATGCACTTTTACTACAATGTATGGAACATGTTATCAAATAATAATCTGCACTGCGAATAAAGAATCACAATGCTCTTTGTCGTTCGCACTGTATAAGTGCCCTCTCCGGTGCGAAGTTATAGTTATCAAGCTTCCAACAAGGATATTAAGCAAATTGTTGATAAATACGATAAATGCAGAAATATTTACCACGAGGTACCTAATTCAACAGTGAAGCTTCCCTTGTGCATTGTATCTCGAGCGAATGTATCAGGCAGTAGGCAGGTTAGAGGAGCTCTCTGTGCCAATATTTTAATAAGCATTTGAAGTATGAGTTCGTGGGGGAAAAGCTGCAGTATATTATATACACTTCAGCACTGCTGTTAACATGCACTGTACCTCTTACGAAGCAGTAAAGAAGGATTAGAAAAATTCAAGTCCACGACACATATACATGATTGCGGGACTAAGCGCGAACTATCAAGTTATTAGACAAAAGATGCCACTTGAGTTACTTGCATACATGTATACGCAATACAAGCATTGCACAATTTGAAGTGATATTCAAGGCCTGCTATAGGAAACAGATTCAGGTTGATTTAGAGTAATTCATTACAGAGCATTCTGCTTGCTTTAAGACCATTGTTATATACCTGACGGGTATTTCTTTTAGGACAAGCGATTTACAGTGGTCCCCCCGTAGCAATTACAATGATGATATTGTTGCAATTTCAAAATCAGAGTTCGAGATTCTAAAGCAGAGCATTCAAACACAAGGCTCGTGCACATGCACGGTCGGCGGATCCTTTGTCAACCAGTCCACCTCGGACATGTCTTTTTTATACCACATATTTTTTCAATAAATATGTATATAACCTACACTCACGTGGCTTGTCTTCAAGCATTTCTTTTTGTAATGCACTCCATTCAGTCCCCATGAGTCAAAATATCCACATAACGAAAACACTGTACTTCAAAATGAGCATCCGAATTCACTGATTTCAAGTCATTCTCGAGTGATTTTCGCAACCTGACGTCAAATCCCGTTTCATGAATGCCACATATATGACTTGCGGAAAGGCCTTTTGCAAAACAACAACGTCCCTTCACATTTTATTTGAACAGACCACCTGCTTTCCCACTCCCGTTGCTCTGAGCTACGCCGCCTCACCGGCTCATCGGGAGGCTAAGTGCCTTAACTGCGGCCAGCTAAATGAGGTGATTTTTACACCCAAGCTTTATAGGTTAAGAATCAGCCGTTTGTTTTTTTTGATAACCATCATTCTAATCATCAGCTTTTCATCATTTGTGGTTAATATAAGAAATCCTAAAAACATTTACGTACGAGTAACTGTCCTAAATTTCCTAATTCAATCAGGAATTATTAGTGGAAAATTCCTAAAAGAGCTCCCGCTTGAAGCACTTTCTTTCCTCGTTGAGACACTATTTTCTCAATATAAACAGAAATGTAGACAAATGTGTTCACATTGTGTTGTTTGTTTTCTTGTTTATGCATCGCACAAATCTTCAAAGGTGAACGCTGCGTTTCCATCTTATTTTCAGCATTCAGGTTTCCCTTAATATGCCATCTATTCGGAAAAAAGTGTGTGCCGAAAGCCGATTGCCCCACGGAGAATGTGTCATGGATTTTGGGCTGTGGAGCTAAAAGCGTTTGTTGTAACACGGGTAAGTATTCTCACTTCCATAAGGTTCGGCTATAAAAAGGCTGAAATCGTCTTCGTTCACAGGAATGTATACCTAACAGACCAATAGCCCCATCGCATGATGTTGATTTGAAGAAAAAGTACCGATGATACCAGAATCTCGTGTCACACAAATATGCGACGAAATTGCCCTAAATAACGAAAGTACACAGGTACCAGAGCAGGAATGGAATGGCGCAAAATCATATATATATCCTTACATCCAAGAGGTGCCCCTCTCCCTTAAAGAAAAAAAAGAAACAAATATCTACGCCCCTGAATTCGTTAATTAGGGTTGGCAGGAATGAAATGCTTTGGGTTTTACCATGGTATGATAATTTATTCTTTAAAGAGGAGAAATTTCTTTATTCACGTTTCGTTAAATGTAGTTTTTACTAAGTAGCCTGTCCCGCATGCGCCTCTCACCACGTGTGTCAATAGAGAGCACCTGTAGGCTGCGCAATGAAGAGCCAAATTGTTTGTCTGTTTCTTGCGAATATTTTTCTCGTACTCTCTGATACACGTGCTGACACATGAAGTGGTATGAAAGATGTACGATTTTCTTCAAGATAAAGAAACCCCATACACAACACCCAGAGTACACTCCCCAAACTGATAGTGACATTTGTGGTGCACAAGATTTAGGTTCTTCTCTATATACAAATCAGAGCTCGGGCCTAAATTTTTAAGGCTCAAAAACATGCCAGGACCTGGTACACGCATTAGAACCGTGTTTGATCGCAGATTACCAACGACGCTTTTTTTTTCGTCTAGTCACATAGATCTTGCCTCGGTTGTGTTGTCGCCCCGCCGCGGTGGTCTAGTGGCTAAGGTACTCGGCTACTGACCCGCAGGTCGCGGGTTCGAATCCCGGCTGCGGCGGCTGCATTTCCGATGGATCTTGCGGAAAGAGTTCGAGAGCGCTTCCGTTTCTAGACATTTCATTGGTGCAAGTTGTTCAGCGCTTGTGCTTTCATTCCATCTTGTTCGGTGTTATGCGTGCTGTCGATCACTTCATATTGAATCTGGGGACTTTTTCATTCCATACAAAGTTATGACTGGCCGTATATAATAGTAATTATTCACCAAGCACTCCACGATAAGCTCCACATTCCGCGAATTTGAGAAAATGCCCGTGATCGTAGAGACGACGCTCTGATTTGTCTCGTTCCCCTTGGAAACTGGGGAAATCTAGCCTCTTGCGTTTCCTTCAGGCGTACGACCGCTATTAAACTTCTCAGCGCAAAAGCTTTCGACAAGTAACACAAAGTCCTCGTCCTTTGTGTTACTTGTCAGGAAGTTTTTGCGCTGAGAAGCTCAATAATGCATTACCAACAAGCCCAATCCCGCACTTTACTTCAGTACTGACCACTAGCCTGCTGATTGATAACATGAAACAGAACTGCAGGCCAGATGCAGGTGAGAATGAAAACACGGGCGCAGAATTGCAGCGCGTTCTGTAGCGCTTTGCGCGTTTTAAGCTATTTGATGCAGAGAAGCCTGATCTCTTCAGTGCCGTAAACCCACCGAGAATGGGCGTTCTGTCCTCTCTTTTCTCCTCTCCTACGCTCCCCCTCGCTTTCTCTTTCAGGATCTCAATGCGGCGCAGATAGCGTGGCAACACGAAGCCGAATGAAAACCCAAGGGGCGTCTACGCCCCCACAGCGTATGCGTGTCTCCTTCTCTTCTAAACTTTCTTCTATGCTCCTCATCTTTCTCTGAAAAGCCGAATCCAAACGCAAACGCTGAACGGCGAACCCCTAAGCGATTGAGGCAACGCGAATCGACGGTGAAGGCAACAAAACCCTTGAAAGAGCTTTTGCAACCCGTGCCCAATTGCGGAAACGTGTGGTTAGAGCGAAATGTTCTCGATCGTAGTTTCGGCCTACAGGTGCAGTGTGTGCGACTGGCTTTGGTTCGACAACAAGCTGGACAAGGTCAGCAGCAGTCCCGAACGATCTCCGTAGGTGCTGTCGTTGGCGTGCTGAGAGAATAGTTCGGACCAGTGATTAACAACGACGGCAACCACATTGAATTCATGGTGTGCTGGACTTGCAAAGATGCGTTAACGTCTGGAAATTCGCCCACGAAGAGCATTACGCATCGGCTATCACTGCCCGTTGAAACCCGAGCACCTGCCCGAACTTAATCCGTTCGAAGAACGGCTCATCACGCCGCATCTGTCGTTCATGAGTATTCCACGCCTCACACATGGAAATGGGTCATACAGGATCCAGGGCTAAGTCGTGAACATGCTCATAGAAGTGCAGGAACTCGAGCAATGCATCCTTGAAACGTCACTCATGACGCGGCCTTCGACGTGCACATCGAACAAAGACTTGCCAGTAAAGCTTTGTACAAGCGCGACACCTCCACGTAAAACAATAACATTTCTCTACCTCTCTTCTTATACATTTTGAATGCGTTCTCATTCGTCCTCTCAATAAATTAGACTAAACGATCCAATCTTCGGACTGTCTCACATCCACACATGGTTCCTAGTGGGATTTGATTGATATGTGAGGTTTAACGTCCCAAAACTACCATATTATTAGGAGACATGCCGTAGTGAAGGGCGCCAAAGCTTTTGACCACATGGGGTTCTTTAACGTTCACCCAGATCTGAGCACACAGGCCCACAGAATTTTCACCCCCTTCGAAATTCGCAGCCGCCGCAGCTGGGATTCAATCCCGCTGACTAGCGGGTCAGCAGCCGAGTACCTTAGCCAATAGACCACCGCGGCGGGAGCCCTTAAGCTGGAGATCGTGTGAGTTTTCAAAAATAACACATTTTACAGTACACGTTTGAAATACTTCGTAAATGAATTGAAGGACTTCGAATACCAGATCGGTCGGTTTGCCAAATATCATCAAAATTGATTCAGGGCACCTTCAAGAAATGAAAAAGATGATTTAATAAAGCTGTTGGTTCAATACTGCCTGCGTTATATCATGGCTCGTGCTATTCACTGATTAGTGCTCATTACAACAAGGAGTGATATCATGAGTCATCACTTTGATTCACTGAAATGTGTAATGAGTCAAATGAAGTATAAATAAGTATGCTTAAAGCTATGCATAACCTTGACCCATAAGCACGTGTAAACCCAACAAGCATGCGTGGCAAGCAGCCAAGGTTGCCTTAGGATGCACTTTAAAAGGAGCCAAAACTGAACCGAAAGGAAACAATGTAGTAATGCGATTAGAATTTTGAGCCAAAATTCTTGCAAATATAAGCAGAAGTGGTATTATGAACAGATTTCGACCAACCATACAAGAAAATAAGTCTTCTTTTCTTTATAGTCAAGCTAGATAAGACGCAAACACACAAATAAAGTGAAACAAATTTAGTTCACGTGCATATATTTTATGTAGAATAAAAACAAAGTTCTTTGCAGATGCAGAGTAATTCGGGAACATTAGAACCAACGAATGAGTAGGAACACTGAAGGTTAAAGCAGCTTTTTCTTCGAGCCACACATAAAATTTGTTTGAAATGCACTTAAAAACATGCTATGTTCATAAAACAAAATCGGTAAAAATGAACATTCCAGTTTCATGTTGGAGCTGAGTTCTGTCTTTCCTCAGATCTACATCTGAACAGACGCTGCATATGAGAAATAAAAATCAGGGTGGTGCGTTAGCATATAGATACAACTAGTAGTGTGTGTAGCGTGTTTGCTGTGTGTTTGATGATGCGACAGAAACTTTTACGAAATGTTATTTTATCAGCAAATACTGAAATATTCGTCACCAGACGGCGTGCAAAAGTAGTCAGTTTGTGCAACATAGCCAACAACGGCCACCCTGCGAGCAAGTCTTTTACACAACCACACCATTCATTTCTACAGTGCATGCAAATTTTATGCCCAAATATTTTGAAGAGTGCGCGCAGTGATTTGGCGCATTACAAATGCATTGATATACACGCCATCCGCATCTTTCTGGAAGAAAAGAGGGAGCTTCAAAGGTCAAAAGTCTAGAAAACACATGCGAGCGTCGAAAATTTCAAGCAAATTCGGCGGTCAGGAGTCTAAATAACGCCGCATAGAACTGCTGCTGGAAAAGTATATGGATGCCAGTGTAATGCGATGAATCTCCTTAACGCATGTAATATTGCGTGGACGAAGCGTAGAATTGCACCAGGCACCAAAAAAAAAATAAGCAACGACTAGGTGTTTTAACAGCCATCGCATTACAAAGCACACTGACCTATTTCATCATTACCTGCTGCAGAGGTGGTTGTAGGTACATTCATCGCAATCAACAAGGCATATTTATAGTCGTTATCAGCAAAAGCATGAACAAACTCAGCAGCTTCGTTGGTTGACGCGTTGCTTTAAGGGCGCGAAGTGCCACTGTACTTGTAGCACACACTTTATAGCACATTTTTCTGCGATCCTTCTTTGTGAGTACTGACGAAGGTCAAACCTCTCCTCATTACAGCCACCGTGGCGTTCCCTAGGGTGGCTACTGACCCCTGTGCTGTACAATCTTACGCTACTTGCTCTCACTGAGCATCTGCCAAGCACGGTCAGGCTATCAATGTACGCAGATGATATTTGCGTTTCGGCATCGGCTGTAACACGCCTGGTGTTGTGAGCGAGAGTTCAAAAAAGCTGCAACCGAAACATTGCGTTATCTCTGAAATCAAGGCTTGGAAATTTCTTCCGACAAATGCGCCCTCGTAGCTTTTACACGCAAGCCTATGAATAAGTGCACCATAAGAATTGTCGAAGTGTACCATACGTTTGATAACGCAGATTTTTGGGCGTCATAATTGACAGGAATCTGTCATGGAGTGATCACTTCTCGTACTAGAAAAAAAACGGCTAATAGACATCTATATACTCTACTGAAGTTCTTCGCAGGGAAGACTTGGCGAATGTCACCCAGTGCAATGATACAGCTGTACAGGGTACTTCTCGGTTTTCTGTGGTACAGCTTACCGGCAGTGACCAATTCAAGCAAAACAATTCTGTGGACGTTACAGAGCATTCAGTCCCAGGCACTCCGGATTCGCCTCGGCTTGCCTCGTAGTGCGTCGACAATAGCAACTATAGCAATCGCCGGTGACCACCTCATTACGACACATATTGACGTTGAGGCACTCAGGACACATATAAGGCATATTGCGCGGACACCCTGCCACCACCTAGCCTCTTTACCAGCAGACAGACCAACCACGATCATTCTTTTGCCAGACGGTAACCACTCCTTCTTGGTGCCTGACTCAGGCTAATATAAGGCTAACTATACTTGGCATCTAGAAAAAAAGCAGATATGCAAAAAAAAGGCCAATGAATGGGCCGATCAAGCTGCCCGTTATGCTCATAGTAAAAGCGATCAAGTATTGATTCCGCTCTCCAGAACTGATGCTGCACGGAAACTCCGCACGCTTGCTCCCAAGCGCACCACGTCGCAATGTAACGAGTCACATTTCACCCATGCACGATTATCGTACCTTAGACTAAACGCTCAGTCTTCGAATTCCTCTTGAACTTCGCCGACGAGACGCTACTACGCTGTGCAGATTAGGGTTGGGTGTCGCATTTACCAATTTGTACGCGTTTCGCATAGGAATGGCCGACACTGCTGCATGCGATCATTGTGGCAGTGACGAAACAACTTGGCACATTTTTTGTGAATGCCCACAGTATTGCTCGCAGAGACAGTCGCTTTGCAATCCAACAGACGAACTGGACCACCATACTCTTTGGAAAAAAAGAATCCTGCGTGACCGACAGGAGTTTATGTCGCAGAAGAAGGCTGTGGAGGCGCTCCTGCGCTTGTTGCGTTCAACCGGCATGCCAAATGACTGTGATTGGAACGCCCTGCAAGTGTGTGCATGCAATTTTTAGGGGCGGAGCTCCTTATGGCGTGGCTTGTGCGGCCCTCGTAGAACGTAACCATCAGTGGCACATACCCGAAATAGCGGTCCTTACGATTTTGACCTCCAAGGTGGTTCCGGTGAGAGATTTCTTCTGTGCGTTGTTGAACAATAAAAGATAGTGCTCAATGCACATGTTAATGTCTGTTGAGGGGGAATGAAAGACAGGAGCATTCGGCCTTTAGGTAACGTGCACGCTGCGATCCCCATTAGCAGCTATTGGCATGTACATTGAGCATGATCTGACAAGAAAGGATTACTACGTTATACTCGTTGGGTGTAACCTCCTTTGTTTTAGAATGGTTTAGCGAGCGTTGGGCCGCATAGCCATGAATACAGAGAACTAGTATATACCATGAACTCGAGGTGGTTAAAGGTGGGAAGTAAACCGGAAGCGAAAGCCGCAAGAAAGTGTGCATGTGCCACCTCCCGTTTAGTCCTTGAAATGTCCGCTGGATGGCAGTGTTTCTATATGGAGATTATATGAAAAGATGCGAGATGGTGGTACTTGGAGTGCTGAATAGATGGACGAACGGACACACAGACAGATGCATGGATGGACGCATGAACGGACGCAGGCGCGGATGCATGGACGAACGCAGGGACGGACGCACGAACAGACGCACGCACGGACGGGTGGATGGACGCATGGACGGTTACACAGACGTACGCAGGAACGGACGGAAGCAAGAACGAATGAACGGACGAATGCTTCGCCCCCCTCCCCATCATTCACTCCGTGGATATGCTGCCATTTTTTATATTTATTTTATATCTCTCTATCCCTATCCTCTTTCCGACCCTTATTTCTCCACTCCTGTACAGAGTAGCAAACCAGTTTCTTTAGGTTAACCGCCCTGTCTCTTCCTTTCAATTATTTCTTCGTGACATGGCTGATGGGTAAAGACCCGAAAGCAAAATGGGGCTAGACGTAGGAAAGAAAACGTGAGCGGGGCCCGATTACCTGCAAATTTGTTTTCGGAAAAGATAGATAGATATTTGGGGTTTAACGTCCTAAAACTACCGTATGGATATGAGAGACGCCGTAGTAGAGGGCTCCAGAAATTTCGGCCACCTTGGGTTCTTTAACGTGCACCTAAATCTGAGCAAACGGGCTTACAACATTTCCGCCTCCATAGGAAATGCAGCCGCCGCAGCCGGGATTCAATGCCACGACCTGCGGGTCAGCAACCGAGTAGCTTAGCCACTAGACCACCCCGGCGGGGCTCCGGACAAGACCGTATAAATTTTCTTACGAATTTTTGCTACAAGTTGGTGGACGTAAATTTTTTTAGGGCCGATTAAGCTATCGTGTGTTGCTCTTGAGGCAAAGTTCAAGCATCTTTAACTTTTGTGAACCGTTAAATAAATTCCTGTGGTCTCACTAACAATCGATTCCTCCACCATGCAGCAAAAATGCCATTTTGCTCTACATTGGGAGGTACATGCCAAGCAGTTTGTGGCGGAAATATACAAAGGAATGTCACCTGCTCTGGGATAAAGACATGTTGTATCTACACGAGCAAGAGTAAGCATGCTACTGCTGGTAACCATGTCCGTCGTCATAGTAACAAATTTATCCGCAATGGCTTTGAATAAAGTGCTTGTCTGCCCAGAAGAATAAAGATTTCTGAATACCGGAATGTGTGATCGTAGAAGATTGACTCTAATCAAGCTCATGTAGTAGGAAGAGTACACTGGGCTTCATGACGGCAGTTACGGGAGCCTGTTGATTGCACTCATGAAAAATCGACACACAAAAATTGTAGTTGAGAGACATTGGTGATTTATAATAGGCTCCTCGTATTAGGTGCATGTGATTCAACTTTTTGATACATATACTAAATGTGTTTCGGGATTTCAATAAGCCTGAAATGCCCATTCAACCTCCCAGTACTCATACTGTTCCACCATGGGCTTTAGACTCCAGAGTTGCCAGAATATATTAGATATATATGTAAGTGAATGCCAGTGTATGGCTAGATCATTTCATGTATTGCGGAGCACATCGTACGTTTCTAGAAAGAAAAGGTAAATAAATTTTATTTCACTGCTTCATTTAAATGATGTCCATCATTGGCTTCTCTGCAAATTCTGCAAGCATGCCAACTAAAGTTTACGCCCTATTCACCGACATTACCACAAACTCGTACTGTCGCTGCTATTGAATACTGATTAGAAGTTTGTGAAATTTACCACTGAATTTGGCAGTGGTTACAAAAAGTGAGATATTTTATGAATACAGGAACGGATACGCCAACAGGCTGCAATATAACAGTAAGAGACGGCACGTAAAAAGAATTTTACCGTCGCCACCTATTCATAATCACTTTTAGATGGAAAACATTTTTCGTGCATCACAAGAACTTTTAGAGTCTATCTGTGTATCTATCTTTCCACCTAGACACTTAACCTTTGACTTGGCGTGAATCAAAAATAGCATGTAAGGGTAAGGTGGCTTGACGAATTTGACGCACTGGTCAATACATGAATATTGTCAAAATCGCGTCGGAACCTCATCAGTTTCCGCCAAACAATGACACAAACCCATGGAGGGGTATTTTTCACTGGTATGCAGAATTGTAGCACAGGCGATTGACACTTAGTATCACTATTAGAGTTCAATCAACCAAAGTACTAAGCAGGATTTCTAACAGCCTACGCTACAATAGACCGTATCGATACTATCAATCAGGTAAACAAGAAATGCATGGAATACAGCCAATCCCTACACAAAGCCTTCAAAGATTACGAGAATGCGTTTGAATCAGTCTAGACATCAGCAGTAATGCAGGCACTATGTAATCAGACAGTGGAATAACCCTACAAAAACATATTGAACGAAATCTACAATAGACCCACAATCACCATATTTCTCCATAAAGCAAGTCACAGAATCTTGTGAAAGAACAGTGTGAGGCAGGAAGAGAAGATCTCTCCGAAGCTATGCACCACGTTTTTAAAGAGGTTTTCATTACCCTAGATTGGGAAGAAATAAGGATAACAGTTGATAAAGAGCTTCTTAGTAACCTGTGATTCGCTGATGACAATTTCTTTATGAGTAACTCAGCGGACGAATTGCAACTCATGATTACTCAACTGAACACGGACAGCACAGAGGTAGGTCTGAACGTTATTGTGCCCGAAACTAGATATTGTGCAACAGTCTCAGCAAAAACAACACTTTGCGATAGGTGTAGAGACACTGGAAGTTGTAAAAGAATATGCCATTTAGGACAGCTAGTAACCACGGAGCCAGACCACGGGAGTGAAAATACAAAATGATAAAGATGGAATGGACCACATTCGAAAAGCATTCTCAAACCGCGAATGACAATATGCCACTGAACCTCAAGAGTAAGGCACATAACAGCTGCATCTTGCCAGCACTTACCTACGGAGCAGAAATCAAGAGGCTTACAAAGAGGGTTCAGCTTAAATTGAGAACGACGAATCGGGTGATGGAAAGGGAAGTGATAGGTGTAACCTTCAGAGGGAAGAAGAGAACAGACTGGGTCAGGGAACAAACTGTGTTTAGAGATAATATAGTTAAAACCAAGAAGAACTGGACATTGGCTGGATACGTAGCACGTAAGCAGGATAGCCATTGGTCTTAAAGGGTAACTGACTGGTATCTCAGAGAAAGTAAACGCACAAAGGGGAGATAGAAATGTAGGTAGGCCTATGAGATTAAAAGGTACACAGGTGTAACGCGGTATCGAAAAGCACGAGGCTAGGTTAATTGGCGCATTATTGGAGAGGCTTTTCCCCTGCAGTGGCCGTGGTCAAGCTACTGCTGATGCTGATGATGATCGACACAGGAATGGCGAAAACACACTTTGGTAATTTTCACGTGTGATTGTTTAAACAAACCTCATATCAGCAGGTTTTAGCGGAACAATGCATTGAATAAATCCAAGAAAGAATCAAACCTAAGCGATCGGCGTGGCAGTCAAGTATTCTATAGTACATAGTCACGTCACCACTCGGAACTACTTGTAAATACAGCCTGATTGATGTTGGTGAAACCTCAATTGTGGTTGCGGTGTTGGCTATGAAAATTTATAAACTATACATATGTACTCCTATAATTCAGCCATCACGGCCGGTTAAAGTCAATAAAATTAGGTGCCATGCACAGCAGCTGATTAATACAGCAGTGTCCAGGGCGGCTGTTCTCGCGAGCACCAGCACTTGCTTATTTATCATTTCTGGTGTTGCTAATACCAGAGTTTTTTAATGTTTCAACGGTTTTAAAGAAATCTGCTAATACTCATGTACCTGTTCGCACCGTTGCGCAGGTGGAAAGAACTCGTTATGTATGCTTCTGAAACATTTCGACATATGTCTTACCATGCAACCGTTTCGCATACATTTACCGTGATTCTATGACGGGTCGTTCGGTAAAAAAAAAACGATCACCTGCCCTCCGCATGTTTCGCATAACGTCGATTCCCAAGACACTTGAAATCTGCCAAAATTTTTAGATTTTTTTTGCAAATCATACATTCGGGCATTTATGGTAAAGCATTTAAGCACTGGTAATGTGAAAGAAAATGAATTGTTGTACAATTCAGAAGGAAACGGTACTTTTTAACAATAAGTATGGCTCATTTTACTGCCTTTCCGTCAGTTTCTCTCTGTAAATGCTTGCGTTCTTTTCTTTGAAAACACCAGTGTATTTGGCGCTCGTGCTACTAAGAGACCTATATGTCTCATACGTTAGAACATTTTAAAGATATCAGATGCCGATACAACGCGAGATCTTGGTGGTGGCGTAATTGGAAAGAGGCCAAAGAGACTACTTGCAGTTGGCGGAACATCACGAAATACTCGATATAAACGTAGATGCGCCAATTGCGTGGCGAAATTCCAGGATAACAAGTCAGATGACCCGGGAGCATCATGATAATGTAAGTAACTGCCACATGTTCTGGAGTCTTCAAGTCATCATTATATCAACACATGGAGTTACACGATGATAGCATCCTCACATGACAGTCGCTGCTTGGTCAAACGCTGCTTTATAGTGGAGGCATTGCATAACCATCGAACGTGTGAAGCTTTTGCAATGCATCCGATCTCGTAAACAATCGAAAATTATGTTAGCTGCGTGATGTTTTCAGGAATGTGGCGAAGAAAACGAAGCGTAAAACAAATATGCTTACTTTCTCTTTCAAAGGTAGTTTTAAGTCAGTGCATAATAAATCGTGTCTTTTTTCTTCTTCGCAAAGCGCATGTTAAGAGATTATTTTAGGAACCTTTCCATTCGCAGCAAGCAAAGCGAACTCCCTATTTTCGGCAGGGACACGTATATTAGCAGAAAGACATATCATGAATGGTGAGTGCGAAAAAAAGCCCGCAATAACAAAGAAGTCTAATGCTATAAATGCTGGTCTTAAAACACAACTAACAATCCTGATTCTAGACATATTGCCTAATTCAGGCATATTTTGACGCCTTATCGCCCAAAAATATTTTTACGGTCAGCTCAAGGTTAATATTGGGCTTGTTGGCTTGGCTTGATTTAAAACTAGAACCAGAAAATATGCTACTCGGACCACCGCTGGAGTGAATTTTCATTACCGACGTACGTGAAATAGAGCGATAACAACCAAAAATACATCTAAATTCATTGTAGTGCGAGCCAGTTTCATTAAGAACTACAAGCGCCAGTTACTCACAGTGATATAGCTAAGGTCCTCCCAAAGAACCGGAGCCAGCTAAACTTTCTGGGAGATGTCGAGGAGAGTAGCCGGAGCTGTTAAAAGAAACTTTTATTTACATTATTTACAGGTAGCGTGTTACTACATGAAGGGGGTATCATGAAAACTCTCGATGGACGCGTTATGGCGAGCATCTGGGAGCTTCTGGGAGCTGCTGAGAACCTGTCAGGAGTGTCTATACGCTCGCATTTTATGCAGAAGTATTCGAGTATTCCATGCAAGTAAAACGATTCAGGCCAGGAGAGTTCAGCTGAAGTTGTCATCCTTCACCTCCGCTTACAAAACGGGAAGGTGCAACACTGCCTCCTTCGAAACCAGCAAAAGAGGGAAGAGGCACGCCCAGATCATCCCATGGCGAGTTGGAAAACTCTGCACAACATGCATAACACAGCACAGCACGAATACGTTCGGCCCTACGTGCATATAAACTCCAGTCCGTTTATGACTCATTGATAGGGTGTTATGGCGCCTGGCAGGGCCACGGTTAGTGGAAAACTGCGGCATGAAAGCACCACGAACTACCTGAGAAAGGCCCGCGCAAACGAATTTCAGATGCTTACCTCATTGTTTGGGCAACCTTTACGTACGAAGTGGTCAGCCTCGACGGCCAACAGCTCTTCCTAATACATCTAATACATCAGTCAGTGAGGCGTATTCAACAGGTATTACGAGGGGAACTGGCGGCCTTGAAGAATTCGAAGAACGACTTTTGTTTTGTTGCCGCTCTTGGCTCATCTCTGGGAGTGCTGACCGGAATGAAATGCAGTGTAGGCACAGCTGCAATATCTCACGTGTTCAAATGGTGCCAAGCCAAGGAGCCTGTTCATAACTGCGTACATGCACTTTTGCAAGAAGCTACTTTGTTTAGTACAACTGAGGGTATGCGTACCTGCATGTCTTCATGCCTCTATATGCGC